GATAGAAACAGGGTTCAGTTCGAGTTAAGAGACTTCTAAAAAAAACAGAAGGGAGTTGTCATGAAACAAGACCAGGTGTCAATCTTGCCGAATGCCCATGGCAAAGAGGAAAACGTGAGGAAGAGAACAGACGGAGAGAGAGGTGTGGGTGTGTGTGGGTCTCCTGTTCCATCTCCCCTCCGTAAGGCCTTGAAGAGTTCGCATCTGTCCCTTCACAGATTCTTCAGATGTTCGCCTTCAAGTTTAAGAATTTAAATGTCAAAAGCTTGACATGTCAAACCTTATTACTGCCAGCTCGCCTTGTGTACAATCACCTCTACAACAAGAGTCTGGGGGGGTCTGAAATGTATTAATAAAATGCAGCAGAAAAGCTCAGAACAGACACATCATGTGACGTAGTCACGAGAGGGTGGAATAATTAAATACATGCTTGAACCACAGCACTCAAAACCATGAGCTCGTGCTCGGCAAAGTGAAGGGGCTTGTTTGTTTAGCAGTGCTCTGCATTGTTAATCATCTGGCTAATCAGTCTGGGCTGGACTTTTAAGTCGAAACCAGATTGACCGCCCGAGTTCGGGGTTACAGCACAAACCGGGACACGTGGTTTAAGGTCCTGCGTAACAATTACACATCTTTTCCTGGCTAACAAAGGCCTGATCAATCTCTGTGCTAATCGGCATTTAATTACAATCTATTTTTGAACAGCCTGAAAACCGCTTTTGAAAACCTAAGCCGAAAACAGGATGTGACAGTCCATTGTAATTCAATCCATGTCTTCGCTTTTCTGCCTACATGCACCATTTCTGCTCAAAGATAATGAAACCTGTAAAATTCAGGTCACATAACAGTGATTAAAATGTTAGTATTCATCATAAGATTATATCAATTATGAATAGAGGTTTGATTATTTTGAGGCGCTGCTCCAAAATTCATTTAAATATGTGACTGAGGCAAGAATCAAAGCAAGGATATTAAACAAACATGAGATGACAGAAAAAAGACAATTTATTCCAATTTGAGCAACTTTAAATCATTTACATTCAAGCGCTATAAACTCAAAAACCTTAATGCGTTAAGCGCTTAGCTTGGTCAACATAATGCCCAGAAACTGAGCTACATTATGCCTTTATTACATTTTCATAAACATTCAAAACCAGAGCCACTGCCAGAGGCTCTAACTACAGAACTTGGGTTTCAGATTAACTTCGAGACCTCTCATTTAATTTATAGAATATTAAACTCTGCTTCAGACAGTTGATTTGTGGGAGGCTGTCAAAATACACATCCAATCAAACCTCTCATCCGAAAGAGAAATTTGTAGACATTTTTTTTTTTGGATGTCTTGATGGCGGCGCGTTCACACGCTGCGGCTTCTCTCTCTCCCGACAGAAAGGTGTTTTCGTGTTTTTTGTCTTGTGAGTCGCAGTGTTTTTGTACGTATTCGTCGCGTCTATCTGTCTCTAAGCGCGCATACAGTCGTGAGTTTCTGCTCGATGTTGGCAGAACCACATTTTTAGAGTTAAACTCTGCGCACGCCGAAGAGCTGCGGGATCTCGGTCTGCTCCGGAGGCCCACACCATCACCGACCCCCACTACTGCATCTCGCCCACAGCGGAGGCACCACAAGCGGCGTGAGAGGAAGCAGAAGAGGGGTCAGCGCGGAGGTATCCGGGCTAGGCTAGCGGCTGACCCACACAAGCCAGCTATCCCCACCATCGTACTGGCTAACGTACGCTCTTTGGACAATAAACTG